AATTTCAATCAATTAACTTAAAAAAAAAATTCAATTTGATCTCTTAAAATTTTAATTTTCTCAATTACACTCAAATTAGGCTCTCAAACTTAATTTTTCACCAATTAATCCTAGAATAAAATTAATTTGATCCATTTAAAGTATAATTAAATTCTTGCACTTAATTAAATCCTTCAATTGGATTCAAATTAATTCTTAAATATAATTAAAATTTAATTTGGCCTATGTTAAATCAAATTGGCATTAAAAATTTAATCATGTCCTTGAACTTAATTTTTATGTAAATTCATCCAATAATCATTTAATTTGACTTTGAATTTGTATTTTTCTTTATTTTAGGCATAATGGGGTGCCATTAGACTTTAAAATCCTTCAAAAATTGCAGCTTGATTTCCCTGCATACTTTTTCCACGTTTTCAGCCTTTATTTTATTTTTAATTTTTATTTTAAAAAAATTAATTTTTGGAGAATAAACTAGAATTAGGTTATGACAATCCGGATTAATATTTTATACCTCGGTCATAAGGCCATAATCACCGCATCGAAACAATTATAAAGCTTAATTCTTCCTATTCGATGTTGAAAGATAAAATTAAAAAAAAAATAAAAAAGGATCCACAGAAAAAAAAAGACATTTGAAAGAATAAGAATGATATCTAATATAAAAATAAAATAACGAGAGATGAAATTAAAATAAAAATTAATTTAAAAAATGATATAAAAGAGAAATAACAATCAAAAGAATAATGACATATTTGATATAAAAATCAAATAAAACTAAATGATAACGAATGAAATTAAAAAAAATCAATACAAATAAAAAATTCAAAACAAATAAAGAGCAATCAAAAGAATAAAGAATATTATTGAAGAAAAGAAATGGAAGGATAAATTTTATTTTTTACTAAACTAGTGTGAATCCTGATAAAATGAGGAAAAAATTTCATCATCGCCAAATCACCATAAATAACACAACATGTGGTACACCATAAATAACACCTATTAGATGTATCTCTACTTGATGCTTTAAACAACATGATAAATGGATATTTTTGGTTATCAAAGGAGATCACATGCTTGAAAGGCATCACTGCCTCATACCAGTTGGACTATTTTTGTTTTAATAATATTTTATATTTGTTAAATTACCATGTTGTCCTTCAGTAAAATTATAATTACAAAAAAAATCAATGTAAAAAGTAAATAAAAAAAAACCTTGGACACAAGTTAAATAAAACTAAAATTTAAAAGTATTTTAATTATTTTGTAAAAGAAACTAAAATTTCAGACCCCTAAACTCAAGTTTAATTATTTTCAGTTTCAAATACAATTTAGTATTATTATTTACAACAAAAATATGTAGAGTTTAAGATTCCTTTAATAAATTTGGTAATAACTAATTAATCTTGTGAAAATGGGAAGTAAGTAATGTGTTTTGAGAAGAGCAAAGTGTCATGTTTTAAGAAGAGCAAAGTGTAATGACCCAAAATTTCACATTATTTTTAAATGCATTAAACAATAATATTCATGTAAAAAAGCATTTTTTTTTTTAAATCAGTTAATTTGATTGTTTTCTCCATATAATCCAATCATTTTAACTTGTGGAAATAACCTTAGAAATGGTTGGACTCTTTCTCGAAAACGGATCAACCTTTTTAGCCTCTAGATATTTTCATTCTTTTTATTATGGAATTTGTACTCTTTCTTGGATTCATCATCATCCTTTGGTCTCATTCGTTTCTGTAAATGCCTATCACGAGATAGAAGCAATTTGGTAGATGGAGTATTCATTATCATCCTTCAGTTTATCACGAGATGGACCGGGGGATGAAATTTGACGAGCACATAATTAGGAACAAGAGATGACTTTAATTGAATTGCTAATTACGAGGAAGAAATGTATTTTTGGAGAATTAGTTTGATTGATAAGTAGGTAATTTACTCATGACCTAATCATTTAAAATTCTCGTTCAATTGGATTATATAAAAAGAAGTAAATTCATGTAAATACATCAGTTTTGTTTATAATTAGATCATTCTCTTTCAATATGCAAAATTAGACAGACTATACTCGGGGATGAGAGAAAAAACTGAAAAACTGATTAAATCAAAAAAACAAAAAAAATAATTATAAAAATTGAATTATAAAAAAACCAGATTAAATTAATTAGAATTTTTAAAAAATTGATCAGTTTGTTTCAATTTCAGTTTAATAAGCTTGAAACCCAAAAAACCAAACTGGTTCAATTTAAAAAAAAAATGCTATAAAAACCCTTTCTAAATTTTTAACCCTAAGATTAGCAATATCCCCTCCTTTCGTATCCAACAGCCACCCCCACCCACTCCCCAAGCCATCACAAGTAGCAACTCTTAAATCTCAATCTCTCACATTTTTCATCACTTTACAAAACTTTATATCAGATCTAAATTTCTAGTCGTCTAGCAAAGCTTCAAGAAGGCTTTAATCTTCATCTTCATCTTTAAATCTAACAAATCAGGGACACCTCCCTCTTCCATACGGGCATGACATATACTACACTTAATCTCTAGATATAGCAAACCAATCACCTCTACGACAACCTCTCTTACACCAGACATTAAATTTTATCATATTAGTTATGATTTTTTTTCTATCAATCTCTATTTTTATTTTTTTAACATATATTTTGTGGTAGTGTAATCGACAAACTTAATGGGAGACTGTCAATCTCTAGTTTGTTTAACATATGCTTTGTTTTTACTATCTCAGTATCTCATATGCTCTCACCTTTAGATCAAGTATGCTGATATCAAGATAAATTAATTTATTAAAAAATAATTATATAATAAATATTAGTGGTAGATTAGATATATATTTTATTAATGAGTGAGATTTTTTGTTGATTAAGTAAGCATTTGAGCCTAATTTGTGTTCTCAATTGATGTTTATGGATTCTCCGGAGTTCCTGAAAATGTTGATATATACATATATGTGCTATAATTAAGCCACCAACCAGCCTTTTATATATATATATATATAAAAGAAATTACTAACCAATTTGATCTGGATTTCATGACGAGTCAGCTCCATGTGAATGCTGTGAATTAGGATTTTGTGGTGAAGCAATCCATGGCCTTGAAATAATTTTGATCCGTGCAACTGCAAATACAAGTTGGAGATTCTACATAACTACAAAATAAGCAATATTTATTTTTTAATTTTTTTAATTTTAACATGCCCATTTGAATATTTTGTAGAAATTGAATGATTGTTATAAATTATCTTGTAGCATGAATATTTTATAGCATGAATGTTGTTGTAATTTTTTATTTATAAATTTGTACTTTTTATTTTGTAATTTATTAATTAAAGTGTTTTTAATCCTCTAATATATCTGATTTTTTTATTTTATAGAATTAAGTGGAAAGTGACATTAAACAATATAATATAATTAGTTTAAAAGTCAATTAAGTTGTAAAATACTATTTTTTTATTTTTATATCTTCTAATTTAATTTATCATATTATAATTTTATATTTTAAATTTCAGGTTTTAATGTTAATGGCATTAAGGAATCAAAATATAATGTTCTTGATATGTTTTTCAATTAGGATGACGTACACAATGAAGATTTATATTTTTTGCATGAAGTATTTTTTGATAAAATTATTTTTTATTTGTTGTTTTTTTAAGTTCTTTTAAAAATAATATTTTGTAATTTAAATTTTAACTTGGTGTGTGTTATTTAAACTTTGATATAAAAATCTTATTTCAAAAAAAATATTAAAAAGACTTGTAATATATTGAATACAATATTAACATTAATAATGCTATACAAATAAATATTTAATGTCAAAAAAATTAAACAATATTAATATTAATTACAACTACATAAGAAAGCTCAAAACCAGCACAAAAAGCAATACAGATTTATTAATTTTTTAATTTTTTGGATATTAATATACCAAAAAAATATAAAAAAAATTTAAATTTTACCCAGTAATAAACAGTAGCGTAACCTTAGTAGCAACCACCGGCTACTCAATGACGACATATACCCCCAGAATGGCATATTAGGCTAAGACGAGACCTTCACAAAACAATGAAAATACGATCCCAAAGAGATTTTAGAAACAAATTAAGAAGATCCCTTCATTAAAACTGCACACGAACCAGATTTAATTTTCCTCGACAACTTTAATTCACCGAATCAGGATATTCCAAACATTATCCTCCCAATCCTCTTCCATAACACAAGAAACCATGTTTAAATGCAGTGTACGTTCTTGGGGCGTTACTTTTATTTTGTTTTAAATTATTTTTTATATTTTTAAAATTATTTTGATATGTTGGTGTTAAAAATATTTTTTTGAAATAAAAAATATTTTATAAAATAATTATTATTATTATGATTTAAAATAATATTAAAATTTTTTGTTCGAAGATGTGTTAAAATAATTTTTTTAAAATATTAATATATAAAAAGCACTTCTCAATTATTCGGGCAATAAATGTAGATCTCTCATGGGCCCACAAAACTGACGGCTATGATTTATTGACCCCTTCTTTGACATTTCCACTAGCTTTTATCCTTTTATCATTTCCTCCACTTTCTCTAGCCATCTCTAGCCGTGCATCGACTCTTTTAACCCAATCCAAGCCCTTGCGGTCTTCCAGCCATAAGTCAAAAAGAAGCCCTAAAAATTACCATGAGACAAAAGTACAAAACCGCCAGAAGCTACAACGCGGATCGAATGTAATACACGGACCAATCACAAGACATACTCACAAGTTTGGCGAGTCAATTTTGGGACAGTAAAACTGTAAAAGAGGAAAGGTTTGACTTAGGGTTCTTAGCCTTGGGGAACGCATGAGAGCCCATCAGTAATTGGTGTTCATCGGTTTCTGTCGAACCCTAAAAACTAAAATCCCAGTTTTAACCCTATACACGGCGAAAGGAATTAATGGGCGCAATTTATGACAAAGAAAGAGAGATTATGGGGAGAAAGAAAGAATAGTGGCAGACTAGCTAGCAGTAACAAGAACGAGATTTAGAGAGAGAGAGAGTGGGGCTTTCGGAGGAGAGATTTCTCTTCTTTTCTCTCTTTCAAACTCTTCAATTCCAAAAATTCTATAGATCACAACCGACATATCATTGTTGGTGGTATTAATTCCAACTCTTCTTTTCTCTCTTTTCCGTTTAACTTTGTTTGAATTTTTTTTTTTTGCAGCTTCGTAATATATATATACACATATTCTCATGATCAGTCTCTCATGGTGGTTTTTGGAACTGTACAGTACTTTGAATTTTACCTTCTTTTTTTTTATTCTTCAAGTCATAGGATAAGTTCGTTGTTTTGGTGTAAGAAAATCGTTACAACCTTTTCTTATTCTTCTTTCAGAAGATTTTAATTTTTCTTTTCCTTTCCTTTTGTCCTTGCTGTGAGGCTCTCCGTGTTTTGAACTCCATGTTTAGATTTGATTAAGGTTTTCCGCACAAGGATTTGTATTATTTTTTTTCCCATCACGCTGATCTTTAATTTCTTATGCAGTTTTCTCTTTTTATGTAATGCAGGCACGATATTCAAGTTCATCTCCTTGTATTCCAGTACTGAAGAAGTAAGCACCACCAGGACCTAGTTGGAAAAGAAAAACACTTGGTTTCATCTCTTCACATATTTCTCAAAGAACCAAGCAAACATGTTTGGTGATTGCCAAGTTATGTCAAGCATGGGAGGGAGTGTAGTCTCTTCTGATAACCTCTACTCATCGCCGATCGGAAACCCTAACTTCAGCTTCATGTCAAGCATGCCCTTCCACACTTTCTCTCCCGTCATCCCTGTAATATCTAGAGTACTCTTTGATCTCCTTGTTTCTTTTATTTTTTTGTTTTCTCTCTAAAATCCCAAGGATAATAATAAGAAAATTTCGTACAATGTGGTTTCTTTGGTTTAGAAAGAAGAAAATGGGCTAGTCATGCGAGGGAAGGAGGAAATGGAAAGTGGTTCTGGCAGTGAACAACTTGAAGACAGGTCAGGGAACGAGCAAGAAAGCAGTGAGCAGCCTCCAAAGAAGAAACGTTACCATAGGCACACTGCAGCTCAGATCCAAGAAATGGAAGCGTATGTTACTAATTGATTTTTGCACATCTCTTTAATTTTTCTTAAAAACTTATGAATAAATGCCTCTTACACATCAAAATTGCGACGCAGAACCCTCTTTACTTTGGATTCTCTGTCAACAAAATCATTTCGTCAAAACCTAAAAGAGCACGCTCTCTTGATTTTCATGCAAGATCTTCTTATTTAAACATACGCAGTGATCAGCACATGTTATTCTGTTTTAAACAATCACATTATACGTAAAATATTACTTCTAATGGAAGCAAACTAATTAATCACTCTATCTCTAACCTTTTTTAGCTATCTTATTCAAAATTAGTTGCCCATTTTTACCACATGGTTTTGCAGCATGTTTAAAGAATGTCCACACCCAGATGACAAACAAAGAATGAGACTTAGCCAAGAACTTGGTCTAAAACCACGCCAAGTTAAGTTTTGGTCCCAAACCCGCCGTACACAAATGAAGGTAAAACATATTACCTCTCTTTTTTTCCTCTTCATCTCTCTCTCTCTCTCTCTCTCTCTCTGATCTTTCACTTTCATGGTAACCCTAAAATGTCCCAACTCTTAATGAAGCCGTTGAGCTTTTCTTTTTCTTTTTTTACACATGGTGAACGCGATTCCCATCAGGGCGCGTCGTCCATTGATAACGTTTTTACCTAGCCATCATCATGAGCATGGTAGCAAAAGGATCGCATTTATAACTTTGGGTGACTGCCTCATCGCTTGCAGTCTCACATACATATATATATTATCTACTAGATATACAGTCTGTCACCATTAATATCCCTCTGGGACATGTATTAAACCCTTACCTGCACATCTGCTTCCCTAAGAGTGCACAGCTTTCAATGCGATATGGGTGGCATTTAGGGTTACATTGACAAAGTAAGTCCACTAGCTAGGTTTCTGTGAGTATAAGTACTGTTAATGTTTGTGTACATTTTTTGTTACCTACATCAAATTTAATAGGCACAGCAAGACCGGTCGGATAATCTTATACTCAGGGCAGAAAATGAGAGCTTGAAGAATGATAATTACAGGCTACAAGCGGAGTTACGCAATCTTATTTGCCCCAATTGTGGGGGCCAAGCCATGCTTGGAGCAATTCCTTTTGAGGAACTTCGACTTGAAAATGCAAGACTTAGAGATGAGGTATATATTTTCAATTGTTGCACCAAAATAACAGTAGCAAGTAAATGAATCAGTCAATTAGATGTGCACTTTCATCTCAAATACATCGATCGATGAATCTTATTTATATTAAAATGTTGTACAGTTGGAGCGTGTTTGCTGTATTACTTCACGGTATGGCGGCCGGCAAATCCACTCAATGGTACCGGTTCCTTCATTCGTTCCCCCTTCCTTGGATTTGGATATGAACATGTATTCAAGGCCGTTTCCAGAGTATTTGGGCACTTGCACCGATATGATGCCGATGCCTGTGCCTTTGCTGGAAGAACCATCTTCATTTCCTGAGGCTGGTGTGGTATTAATGGAGGAGGGAAAAGGTCTTGCGATGGAACTTGCATTGTCGTCCATGGATGAACTTGTGAAGATGTGTCATGCAAATGAGCCTCTTTGGATCAGAAACATTGAAAATGGGAAGGAAGTGCTTAATCTTGAAGAGCACGGGAGAATGTTTCCATGGCCTTCCAATCTCAAGCAGAATTCAAGTGAGACGAGGACTGAAGCTACTCGTGATTGTGCTGTGGTTATAATGAATAGCGTAACCTTGGTTGACGCTTTCCTGGATGCTGTAAGTCCCTCAAAATTTCAGAAGAATTTCTTTGAACTCCTTACAAAATTGTTGAATCACTTTTCTTAATTTATGTGTAAGACATATTATATATTTAGAACATAATTTTTTTCAATCATTAACAATCTTGCCATATCTTTTTTAGCTTTCATTTGTAAAGCTAATTTAAGCTGATTTTGATTTTGTATAAAATGTCAGAATAAATGGATGGAGCTGTTTCCCTCCATTGTTGCTAGAGCAAAAACTGTTCAAGTTATAACTCCAGGCATTTCCGGTGCAAGTGGTTGTCTTCACCTGGTACGCATGCATTCGATGCTACAATTTTTTAGTAACTCCCACATTATCTAGTGCTTAAAATCGAACTCTATAAACTATACACCGGAAAACTCTGTGATATATATAACATTGTTTTTTTTTTTTTCTAGATCGATTAATTTTTTTTACTTGTTATTTGAGCAGATGTATGCTGAATTGCAAGTTCTTTCCCCATTGGTGCCAACTCGGGAGACGTATTTTCTTCGCTTTTGCCATCAAAATGTAGAGGAGGGCACTTGGGCCATTGTCGATTTCCCCCTTGATAGACTCCACGACAACATCCAGCCGTCCTTTCCCCTTTATAAGAGACATCCGTCCGGTTGTGTTATTCAAGACATGCCCAATGGGTACTCAAGGGTATACACTAGCCTCAATTCTATGTTTTCATGCTTCTATTTGTTTCTTGGAGGAGAGTCGGTGGAAAACTTTCACATGTTGAACCTCCATTAATTAAGTAAATTTCTTTCCTTCAACTCATGCCTTCAGAATTGACTCTATGCTGATTTTTGAGACTTGCACATTTCGCTCCTTACACAGGTGACATGGATAGAACATGCAGAGATAGAGGAGAAGCCTGTCCATCAGATATTTAGCCAGTATGTCTATAGTGGGATGGCATTTGGAGCACATCGCTGGTTAACAGTCTTACAGAGACAATGCGAGAGGGTTGCTAGTCTCATGGCTAGAAATATCTCTGACCTAGGAGGTAAGAGGTTACAATTCCATTATAATTTCCAATTAAACAATTAGTTTAGAATATCAACTCAAGTATCGAGCTCCACTAAACCTTGCATTAATTTTTTTTCATCTTAGCTATTTTTTCGACTGTAATATATGTTTGATATATACCCATACGAAAAAGAAAAAGAAAATTATTTGATTCATCTATTATTATGTGATAACCATATTAGAAGAGCTGCTTGATCCTAAAATGCATGCATCCATGTTCTATATAGCTACAACTAGTTCTTGTACCAGCTTAATTGCCATCAATTTTAACGCTTCCAATCCTGGTATATATATGTATTCACAGTAATACCCTCTCCTGAAGCGCGGAAGAATATGATGAGACTGGCTCAAAGAATGATCAGAATATTTAGCCTGAATATCAGCTCTTCTAGTGGCCAATCATGGACCGGTTTATCGGATTCATATGATGACACTGTTAGAATTACCACGAGGAAAATCACTGAGCCTGGGCAGCCTAATGGGGTCATTCTCTCTGCAGTATCCACAACTTGGCTGCCCTATCCTCACTACCAAGTCTTTGATCTCTTGAGGGATGAACATCGCAGATCTCAGGTTCTAGAGGACACGATAACAAGTATTTTATAATTAATTGATTATGAACTCTAAGCAATTAAAATAATTTTTTTATGATAAGGGTCCCTATTTTTTGTGTTGTCTAGCTGGAAGTTCTTTCCAATGGGAATGCCTTGCATGAGGTTGCTCACATTGCCAATGGCTCTCATCCAGGAAACTGCATTTCTCTTCTTCGCATCAACGTAAAACTCTTCTTTCCTTCTCTGTGATTAATTTGTTGCTATGTACTTTTAAATTATCATTAATTTCTCTTCTTTTTTGTTTAACTTGCTATTTCTTATTACCAAATACATAAAAAGTAAGTAGATACTGTTGAACTAAATCTCTATACTTACTGCTCTGTAACAATTCATGCACAGCATTGTTGTCATTCTCTCGAACTATAATGAAAAATTCATGATATAAATGCATGTATGTATAGGTTGCAAGCAACTCATCACAGCATGTAGAGCTCATGCTACAAGAATGTTGCACTGATCAATCCGGCAGCCTTGTTGTCTACACCACCGTTGATGTTGAGTCAATTCAGCTTGCAATGAGTGGCGAGGATCCATCCTGCATTCCTCTACTTCCACTAGGTTTTGTCATAGTTCCAGTAGAATCCAGCAGTGCTGTCAGTGAAGGCAACTCAATGCCATCTAATTCCGAGGATGGAAACGGTCATAACAACTCCGGCTGTCTACTCACTGTGGGGCTCCAAGTCCTTGCAAGCACTATTCCATCTGCAAAGCTCAACCTCTCAAGCGTTACTGCAATAAACAACCATCTGTGCAACACAGTGAACCAAATCACCGCTGCTCTTAGCAGCAGCAGCACCACCACCATCACCACCACTAGCAGCTGCCTTGACAATGGCAATGCTGTAGGCTCTTGCAATATCGAGCCCACAGCTGCCCTGAAACAAGTTTAGAGTCTTTGCCGCGCAACTTACCTCAAGTCTGCCCGCCTCTATCCCTCTCGCAGAGAAACCCCTGGCTTACACCAAGGGCAATCTGGTAGTTCCAGCACTTGACATCTGGGACCAAGGGATCTGTTTTGCCAATCCCTTTCTATTGGTGTTGGCTTTCATTAAAGAGAGGGGAGACTTTAGGTAATTAGCAGGAGTGCAAAGGGTAGGATTGCAAATAAGTTACCGTTACTGTAATAGTAGTAGCAGCCGTGGTAATTTGGTAAATAAAGACTGCAGTGGAGATAATTGAGTGAAATGTGAGAGTGCATGGGGGTGTAAGAAGGAAAAAAACCAGTAGTAGTATATGATATGTGTGACTAAAATAGAGGGAGTCAAGAGCGCACCACGACGTGACCCTTGCTTTGTGGTGAGACCTTTCTTTGCATGAGTACTGTCATGAAGACGAGGCCTCACCGGATAGCAAGGGTGGTGGTTCGGGTATTGACTTCTGCTTGTCGGTCTTAATTTTATGTTGTTTCAATTTAATGCCACTAAATGGAGTTTTTATTTTTAAATTACTAGTTGTTCGCAATTATCCATTTCATCCCTTCTCTCTTGCTGTTTTGGCTCGTCTCTTTGTTTGCAAATAAATTTTATCTAAGCGTTATACATTTTGCTTTCACTAATTCATTCATCATCCAGTACTCTTGATCTGTTTCTCTCTCTCTCTCTCTCTCTCTCTCTATATATATATATATATATATATATATATCTGGATTAATTTACTGTATTTCGATTAATTTCACAGATAATAAAATTTAAAACTATGTAAATCTTCAATACTTCTAAATAAACTTAAAATATGATGATCAATTAAATTACCATCAAGATTTTGATCTATTTCTCTTTAAAATATGCATGCACTGTTATAATATGATTAAATAGGTGTATGTGATATGTTACAGGATAGTTTAATTTATATATATATATATATATATATATATATATATATAAAATATGATTTAAGTTATAAACTTGATTAGATGATAAGATAACTTAATATGACTAAAAAAATAATAATAATGGTAAATGAATCGAATTAAAATATATAAAAAGTGATCATGATTTTTTCCTTCCCCTTGACCTCCTGTTCATCTTCTTGTTAATTTGGAGCGTTTGTAACGTAATTGAGATATTTGTATAGAATATTGGTATTAACTATTAAATTAATTTTACAAATTTTTGTTGTTCAACTTCTTGTTTGTTGCTGTTGCGATTTTATGTTTTAAAAAATGCAATTGGAGCTTGTAACCCATAACATGAAAAAAAAAAAAAACAATTAATGAAATACCGATCAATGGAAATAGATATTCCATGAGAAACCGAGCACGAAATTAATTTGCTCGGGTGGGTGGTTCAGCCTGCGTGAGATGTACTCACCACATTGCGAGTAGGTATCCCAAAAGACGGACAATGATGAATCTCATTAATTTCTAAGAACAAAACTAACGTATTTTGTCTTGCGAACATAAAGGTTATTATTTAAATTCTATATATAAGCACCTGTTCTTTAAGGAGTGGCCTCTATACACGTGCCAACTGCTCAGTGAAGAACAAGTATGGCTTGTCCCTTGCTTCTACTCAGTATTGAAAGAGAAGATGAAACTCACAAATTAACTAAAGAATATCTAATTAGAGTGAATTAAAACAATGAAAATAAACTACTTTTAGAACGAAAAATGAAGAGAAATTGCACTTGCTATTTTATTGATTGTTGAATCTCTGAATCCCCACCCTTACAAATAACATTGGTGTGGCCTATTCATGACAAATAATTATCTCTTTAAATTCTAGACAGATAATTACTTGGAAAAAAGATTTTATGATCTCAGCAAAAAGAGATGTATGTATTTTTTTTAGATGGGTATATTATTTCTAAACTCAATATAAATTCACTTAAAATTAGGTTAACATGCGCAAATTGAAGGTTTGGTTTGATGAAAACTCTACCGTTAAGAAAATTACGTGGATAATCATGGTAGTTTGTATGTATACTGAGATTGAGTTTTTCCTTGGAACGGAACAATCTTAATAATACAATATTCATAAAATCAGAAAACTTTAATAAATTTGTAGCAGCTGAAATGATCTCCTTATCAACCAGTAGCCGATTGGCCATTGAAATCCTTTCAAGAAGACTTTAAGGTGTCCAAAAAAAAACCCATCAAGGAAAACCCATCACAACTGTCTCGAACCGCAGGCCCATTTCTTGATAAGCTACTGAGTCCACTTTTTTATTTTAGTTTTCTCAGGGACCAACGAATCGCCTCTTCTTCGTCTTCTTCTTTTGGTAACCCATTAAAGCGCATCACGGAGCTCTCACTGAATGTAGCAATATTTGCCTGTTGATCAAGGAGCCTCTTTTCTAAAGATAGTCGATTGTGGCAATCTTGTTTTTCAAAGTTGTATGTTGTTTTATTTTTTAAATAATAATTAAGCATATTTATTAAAGAAAAGTATTAGACTTTCACTCCAACACAAATCGCAAAATCTACCTGCAGTTCGGATGACAGAGTTTAAAATGCAGAGTTTCAGTTTCACTCCAACACAGATCGCAAAATCTACCTGCAGTTCGGATGACAGAGTTTAAAGTACAGAGTTTCAGTTTCACTCCAACACAAGTTGTAAAACTTATTCCTACTGCAATTTCTTTGCACTGCAATTGATAGGATAATATTTACTATTGATAGACTCTGATATGGACATTGTTACCTTTCCTTACAAGCTCTGCTATCGTAACAGTATTGATATGAAAAGAAGAATCTTCTTCCCTTTTGTTTCTTCATTATTTATTTAGAAGATCATCGGTGAAAATTTAGATTGCTGTTTGCATGAAAAAAAATGTTATCATTACAGATAATATAAAAAGAAACATATAGGAAAGAAACAGTCACGGAATTAGTGAAGTTGTATGTTGTCCCTGCAACCACATCAAATATCTCTTTTCCAGATCTAATTTGATTCACAAAGAGCATGGAATTTAATTAATAGTATAAAATACTGGGGATCAACTACTACTAATTGAAATATTATTTTACCCAAGAAAATATATACATAATATATCAACAAGAGGGTAAGATGATGCGTGAGAGTCATGGATGGCTTGAATGAGGCGATCGGATCCTGATATCAAGAAAATTAAGGATAAAGGCAAGGAAGAATGGACCGTGTGTTTCTCCAATGATACTGAATCTTTCCCTTCCTTTTTTTCAAAGTATTTTCTAATAAGAAAGATTATCCCACAAGAACAAAACAGGGATAAGGGCAAGAAAAGTCACCGGGCATGAGTCTCACTTAGTGCATGGTCTACGGATTTCCATCAAAGTCTTCATTACGCGAGTCAGCTGGCTAGGTCAAGCGGAGCTTATTTTTGTTCGGGATTGCCAGGAAAGGTTTTGTCCTCTATGGCGAAGATTCCATGGACGGATCGAAGAATCAGTCGTCTTGATGTAACAGTGCCTCGTTTTTTATTTGAACCGGTCCAAGCCACGAAGAGAACGGTTGCTGGAGCTTTTGGATGTGATTTTTTTTTTTTTATAATCGGATAGACTCAAATTGCACTCTTCGGTGTGTTATCGCAAAATAAATAAATAAAACTCCATGGAAATGATTGGAAATATACACTCGCCGCACCCCTTCTCCTCCCTAAAGAAACGTTATCCTTGATGAGAGGAATGTATTGGGCTGCGTCTCAAATTCTTCACACATGAGCTGCCAGTTGGTTCGCCTATGGTGGCCCGGATTAATTAATTTCTTCGGTATTTCTAAGATCACGGGAGCCCCAATTTTAACAAGGGTTGCCTCTGCAAGAGGAGTTTAATAGAGTTGGTATTGCCTCGTAACCATGTTGAAAACGTAGTTTGAGATTATAAATTTTATTTATTTATTTAATTTCTTGTTTATGTTAAAAATGATTTATGAGTTATTTAGGTGATTTAAGGTGAAAACAAGTTGAATAGTTTTATAATTCAGTTTTTTTGGTTATCAGAGAGTGATTGAAAAATTATTTAGTAGACAATAAGTAATCTCTCATAACGGATAGCATATTTTCTATTTAAAATACTATAGAGAATGACATTTCGTTTATTTTTCAATAAATAAACTAAGCGCAAAGATAAAAGATCATTTATCTATACTTTTGCATTCTTGGATAGGTGCAAGAATTATTATTAGTTATATTTTTTAATAATAAATAAACTAAGCGCAAAGATAAAAATTTAATTATTATTATCTTTTTTTGATAATCCTTTAGAGAGATTATTGTAGTTTATTTTTAATTTTTTTCTCTTATATTTTTATATAATTAAATTGCATTTGCATTGCATGATGCATTTATTAAACCGAAATATTTTTGTGCTAAACAACTAGAATTAACCTTTAAAATAAAATAAATAAAAACATGTAAAATAAAAAGAACAATCTCCATAAAATATGTATGTATTTTTACTAGTTATCTTTTATTTTTACTAGGAAAATTAGCTTTTTTACTTTAGTATTTTATTATTACTAACAATTTTTTTATTTTATCAGTTTATATATATTTTTATTTTATTAAGTGTAAATGTATTTTTTTATTCTCAAATAAAAAAATATGATGATTAAAAACACATCAATAAAACATCACAGGTTTTAGTCATAAATTATCTTGAAATTCTATTAAATACAGCGTTTTTGGCATTTGACATGACTAGTCTAATTTATAAGAGAAAAGATTGTTGCAGAACATGTTGTCATTGAACAGAGTTGAAGGCCGATCATGATTAAAAAAAATTCGAAAAGATGTTTGCATCATGAGGATGCATGTTCTACGCGATGGAAAGCAAACGGGGGACCTGGCAAAAAAATTGTCAGATCCTAATATACTTTTTTACAAATTTCAATGTTCCTCAAAATTGTAGCACGTTAAATTATAATGGTGCAAAAAGAAATATTTTTTTTCAAATTCCAATGGTCCTGGTATCCTTACATAAAAATTACATGAAAATAATAAATTAATTTTTCAAGCTTATGATTCAAATAATTAATTTCTAAGTATCTTATCTTAAAAAATCAAGAAATCACTTTTATTTTAACTTTGGTTAATGTAGGATTACTCGTGACTTTGTTTTATGGTTTTTCCAAGAACTTTATAAATTACTAAAACTATATTTATGTATTTTGTAATTAATTTTAATATTTTAATTTAGAATAAATAAAATAAAACTGTATGAATTTATTGTTTCCAAACTAAAATTTCTCAGTTACAAATAGAAATTGCTTGATTTTATGTAAATCACGTATCTCATGGTAGTTATTGAGAGACAAATTTGAAATCAATAAATGAGCATTATTAAAAAATTAGGAATATAAAGTAATGGATTAATTGGTCAGGAATGAAGATATAGTCACATAACTAGATGAAGATGACAAACAAAAAATTCAGTGCTGGTGTTTGTATTCATATAGTAGAAACTAGATTTAGCGAGCAGGTAAAAGAGAGTAAGAAATTTCTAGGAAGTTAGTGTTTGGAGACACAGTTAATGATTTTCAAAAATTTAAAATA